ATAAATCAAAACCAAGACATATGTATATGTAAATATATACAAGATAGCTAAGATAGTTATACCACTAATTTCTCCTAATTTAAAGAAAGATCTGTGCTGATATTGTTTGGACAATTGTTCATGCCTGTATCTTGTGCTCTTACTACTTTAAAGATAACAATATGTAATATATTAACTATTACTACTCTCCTCATGTCTTGTTTTGTATTTTATATTTTCTCTTTAAAATAAAAAGGTAAAGATTATGCTCAGCAAGCAGCAACAAAATAATAGGATTTATATGTATTTTTATTAATTTGTAGCCTAATCTAAAGTGCTGGTTAATAATGAAATTTGGTAGGAAGAGAAAAACGTAGTAAACTTCTGCAATATGTTCAAAATGGGCCGGGGAGATAGCTCAGTAGAGTATGTTCAAAAAGAGGAAATGAAAGGAAAGTAGTTAATATTTCTGTGGGGCAGCTGCAGAGACTGCCGTGTAAGTGTCCTGCATTGGTCACGTATATCACAGGCCCTTCTGCTGTCCAGCATTTTGCTGTCAGTATCATGATATTGTCAAATATTTGAACAATTCTTGACAAAATTCTGAACAAAGCCAAGTCAAGTTTCCGGTAGTTTGTACATTATGCATATGTGTTTCTCAAAATTTTGGCATGTATGTGAACTATGCAAACAAGATTTGTTTAAATGTAAAATAACAGGCCAGGCAGATAGCTCAATGGTCTGAGCACCTGCTTGGCAAAAACAAGGACACGGGTTTGATCCCTGGTACCGCATGTTGTGCTGGCCCCGGAACCCAGGTTGTGGTGGTGCACAACTGTAATCTCTGTCCTTGGGAGGCTGAGACAGGAGAATCACTACAGGTCTGAGCTGCATAGAGAGACCCTGTACTGAATAAATAAAATATTAAAAAATGAAATAAAATTTAAATGTAAGCCAGCATTCAGTTCTGGCCCAGATCACTATTAGGTTTTTCATCATCGTGAATATCCAGGAAGACATTTGAAACTTAGAAAAGTCAGAGCTTGTGGAGAACTCCCTGGATCTTGAATGATAAGTTCTGTAATGACTCCTTAACCCGGGATACTCACGATACCATATTGGGTGTTATTTTGTAACTGTTCTCTTTGACAGTGGTTTCCTTTCTCAGAAATATAGTTTCAGTGCACAAGATAAAATATGTAAGATTTCAAAGAAAACCAATTGTATTGAAATAAAGATCCTAGGTTCAAAATGCCTGCAAGAGGTGCAATCACACCATGCTCCAAGATGTACACTAGACTTGAGGACCACAAAGTTAGAAGGGCAGATGATGAAAGTCATCAATTTAAAAGGTTATGAATTGGAAAATCCTTCTGCATGTCTAGATCATTTTGGCATCAACATTAAGGGCCTCAAGAGAAACTAACATCGCCTCTCTACCAGAATGGTGTGAATAGCCTAGGAGCAGGATTTCTACTTTAATTTCATATTGGAAACTAAGTACATCCAGTGGACTAATGCTTTTCTTTTCCATTATGACTAACCCACCTCTCTGATTAGCATCAATTAAAATTCAGAGCTTTTGCCAACTTGCTTATTCATGTCTTTAGGAATAAGGTAACCTTGGCAGAACAGAATCTTCCTCCAGCTGCCATTTGGCAGATTGGCAAAGAACTTACACATATTAACCTACACATATTAAACATGATATGTAATTGCGGGAATAGGAACCACAATCGTTGAGAGTTTGTTTCAACAGATGTCCACTAGTGCTTTTGAGGGATGCTTACCAAGATACGACCATAGTTCTGTGTGGGTGGCTGGCTTGCCATGACAAATGTGCAGAGTATCCTGATGATGGCTTTTGTTTCTCTCAGGGTATGTCTCTGTGCCAGACCGTCGTCATGGGCTCTGTGGTCATTCTTCTCTACTCTTCCAGAGCTTGCTATAACCTGGTGGTGGTTACCATATCTCAGAACACATTAGAAAGTCCATTTAACTATGGATGGGATAATCTTTCAGATAAAGTAAGTACCTACCGCATATTGCCAGTGTACAATTGGCAATTGATAATGCAGTTGATCATTCAGTTGGCCTTATCTAAGAGAACATTTCCGTGTTTAACTTCTGCTTTTACAGACCCACTGCCATCAGTAATCACGCTGAAAATTCTGCTTAAGTCTCTTCATTTACATGGAATCAATCTTCCAAGGGAACTTTTCTGAAGAAGTTTTTTTTTTTCCATAATTTTATTGATAAACAAATAGCAATGAGACAGTTTCAAATCAAATTGCTAGGACAGTTTCAAGTTTTTTTTTCTTATTGCAAAGAATAATATTATAAATTTACTGGTCAGAAACCTAGTTTACCAAGTTTTAAAAGGATGGTGTTTATAAATATCTCTAGGTAAATTAATCACCTATCATTACTGATGAACACAAGTATGTCTTTAATTTACTATGACAAAATTACCTCTCCTCTACTCAGGAACCACATACAACCTTAATTCTTGGTTTAGTTTGAGAAGTTTAAATGATGACTTTCTTAAAATTCTGGCATTATTAATCTTAATAACAAAAAACCTTCCTAGCTCTTTTGGTGTCCCAGTACTGGCTGTAATAATTCCCATACTCTAGCTCTGACTTATCTCTTTCCCTGCCCTACCTGTCACCTTCCCAAAAGTACAGTTTGACATGGCCACATGGCGTAGCTTTCTGCTAACCTTGTACTGAATTCAAGGCCTCCTGGAATACCATCTTTCATTTCCCTTTCTACGGAGAAGGAATTTTCATATGTGTTTCCATGTGGCAGACAGCAGAAGAAAAACAAGTTCACTGTGCAGATCGGGCCCCAGAGCAAACATGGTGTAACACCTGAGCCAAGCGGCTTACCATGCTGTATTGGTCAACAGGCCTAACTCAGAAAGCGCTGCTATCCCTGGCAGCAGCTGGATGGTCACTCTTCAGACTACAGGGCCCCAAAATGAGACCACTCCATATTATCCAAACATTGGAGTGACCTTTCATAAATTGATATATTAAAGTCAATGCATTAAAAGTTAGCAGTTTTTTATTCTGCTTAACATCAAAAAATTTTATGTCCCATAGAGGAAAAATATCATTGCATGAGAAATCACAAAATATAGAAAATATTAGTCTATGTGCTTGTGATTGATGCATTTTCCCCAAACAGAAGTAAGGAAACTGTGGATGTTGAGGCTTATACCTAAAACACAAGTATAAACAGTTCTGCCTGTCCTGTTCACAGGCTCATGTAGAAGACGGAAGTGGAGAAGACTACATAGTATTTGGAATGGTCCTCTTTCTGTGGGAACATGTACCAGCATGGTCAGTGGTACTGTTTTTCCGGGCGCAGAGATTAAGCCAGAATTTGGTATGATATAATATCCCCCAGTGCTTGTTCTTCTTTCTAAACCGTATGGAACATTTATGTTGATTTCCTTTTGGGGCAAAGTTTGAATCTAAAAGTTCTTATAGTCTAGCCTCCGTTCTTAGTCGAAAAGTGAGCTTTCATATCCTATCTAATATTCGTTCTCAGGCACCTGCTGGCATGATAAATAGTCACAGTTACAGTTCCAGAGCTTACTTTTTCGACAATCCAAGACGATACGATAGCGATGATGACTTGCCAAGACTGGGAAGTTCCAGAGAAGGAAGGTAGGTGTCACAAAATATCATTACCCTGAGGTAGTACTGCCATAGTTTGACAAAGGCAAATCTAAGTTTTACCCCAGCTAGGAAGAAGATGATTTGGTGATGTATATCAGTAAGATCCTAGAACACTAAAGCTTAAGGCAATAAATTACAAACATGTAGTGGGACCTCCGCTCTAAAACTAGTCTGCCTTGACACTTATGTATAGTATTACCTTTATTTGAGAAATGTCTTTGGGAGTAAAATGGTACTGTCTAATTTCAGGACCCCTTGTTGGTTCAGGTCTGGGGAGGGGATGAGGTGGATGAGTGGGGAAGGAACATGATGCTGCTCACTATGTCAGTTTCTGTACCCATAGTCTGTTCCACGTCCACAAGGACACCCTAGATAAAACTCTTAGGACTCTTGGATGCTGTAGCAAGTCTTCCCAACCCCTCCCATTCCAAAACCATTGTCAGCCTTTAAGACTGGCACATGATTGGCTGTTTATCAGGGTAAAGAGAAAACCCTAATGCATGCCTACAGAATTACTTCCACATGATGTCACAGCTGGTAATTTTTACTTTCTCTGGACAAACTACTTAACCTGGTTTGTGAGCTGGTTTTTTACACCCCTACTGTGAAGTGGGGGTGATAGCAGACCCTGTCTCTTAGGGTTGTAGTGAGGACTACATGACGGTGCAAGTAGATACAGACAGAAAGGTAGCTGTAAGGCTGTATCAGGATAAAGCCTACTACATGGTAAACATGATAGCATCTTACTATTGCAGTTATAAATTCTACCAGTTTGGAGAGGCATGTGTTCTTTCATAATGTGTGATATAGATCAAGGATACTAGGAAATATTCATTAAATTTTGTAGAAAGTCGTTATACTATTTGAGGAAGAATCTGTTGAAGTATGGCACTGTATTTGATAGCACTCAAAATTCCCTGAAAATGTTAAAGATGCCTACATGACTTTCCATGTTCTGATGATGGTCCTTTTGCCTTTTTGCCTTCTTTGTTGCAGTTTACCTAATTCGCAAAGCTTGGGCTGGTATGGCACCATGACAGGGTGCGGCGGCGACACATACACGGTCACGCCCCACCTGAATGGACCTATGGCAGACACTGCTCCTTTGCTCTTCACGTGTAGTAATTTAGATATGAGCAATCACCATAGCTTATATGTGACCCCACAAAACTGAGAGTCGTACCAAGTCGTGAATTTTGAATTGTTTCTCATGAATGTGTATATTCAGTGTGTTTAAACTTCATCTGCATAAACATTGCACCTGAGAACAAAATCTGGAAAGGTGGCCGTGTGACGGAGAGCACAGCTGTCTCTTTTGACCTCTGCAGTAATAACGCAAAACGGAAGTTTGGAGTCAGAGAAAAGAAACGGCAGATCCTAAGGCACTTGACTTCCTCCGTACCTCCTACCTTTGGAACATCAAATGCATATTTGCACTTTCGTCCTTGTCTGAAAAAGTACACTGCAGTCCCCAAAGTCATAGCCCAGTGTTCACACTGGAATATTATTGTACACCAAATTGGAAGGCATTTTTTCTACGAAAATCAACACTTGTACTTCCATTGGTGTACTGCGTCTGAAATCCTTTCTCAATTACAGTGTTAGAGTGTGAGTCGTGCATAGTTAAAGCATCAAAATGTATCCTCTTTCTCACAAACCTCCTAAAATATGTAATTAGTGAAGACAGTTCTTTGAAGCATGGTTTTAAAATACTAATGGAAATTATTCAATCATTTTAAATAAGTGACGATAGTAGTCCTTTACAGTGAGGGGCAGCAGTGGTCCTTGGCAAACCAGTTACTGCTTCAAGAGGAAAATCTAGCCGTGAATACTGTGGCTACTTCGAGTAGAATCAGTCAAGTGAACATTTTGTATGATTAAGATACGCAGTATATAGTAGTGTAAGCATGATTGTTCAAGAAAGCAATAGTGATTTTTTTACATAGGGAGAGTTTGGTAGATACTTCTTGGAACTAAATGAGTTTACAGATGCATTAAAGAATTTTCATAAAATGTACAATTCTAAGTTTAAAAATGACACATTTTCAAAAGCATTGAATTTATCTGAAATAAGATATAACTGATCTTCACCTATTGAATCAGGACTGTCCTCAGGTAAATTAAGTCATGGTACAGCATCATAGTGAACTGAAGTGCAATACTTTCTAAGACATATAATCCCTTAGTTTTCAGTTTCATACTTTGAATTTGGGCAAAACCAAATTAAACCCCTATCAAATTAATTCCAGCATTGGATTAAATGAGCAAATTCAAAAATGTAAAAACTTGGTAAGTATAAAACCAGAGATGAACAATGTCTTAAATTTCCTACCCTGTCATACGTATATATCCATGTATTTGTATGTGATAGGCTAAGACGAAACAGAATTGTAAAATGCACTTTCTACCAACATCTAAATGGAAAGTAGGTGCTGAATACCTCAAGATGCCAAGGGAAGGGGCAACATTTAAAGTTGTCACAACGTGCTTAAAGATAATCTTATAAAATTCCCTGTTAGTCTCTTTCTTCAAAACTGGAATACAATTATCCTGTCTTCTACTTTAGTTGTTTTATTCCTATTTTTACTTAAAATACTGTTCAGCTTTTTACTGATACAGTGAAATCACAAAAGTTTGAGTAGGTGAAATAAAATTTAAAAATGAAATTGTTAATGCTTTCTATCTTTTGGGTTACTGATACAAAATAAATTTCTTTTTATGATACAAAGGACTTTAAATTCAATCAGAAGTGGACTAATTGTTATCTGGCATTTGTTTACAAAAAGTTCTCATAACCAAATTACTTAAAATTTTATAGTAGTGGAGTTAGCTGTCATATTGGTCACATATTTTTTTTACACCAGTTTTTTTTCAGTTATCTTTCTTTCTTTTAGAATGCAACTTACTTTGCTGATGATGTTAGATACCTATCTAGAGATATCAGAAAAGATTTATATTTTCTGGTAATCTGTGGGTTCAAGGTGATAAATTTGTTTCTAGTAAAACCTCCCTAGATGAAGTTCCTATTTGTCTAAAGATTACTTTAAAATTTGTCTAAAGATTCGATTTTTGTCATATACAACTTAGTCCTTTTAGCTGTATTAGTTGATTGTACTAAATTTGAGATTTGGGATTTTATCTTTATCAAGAAAGGGGACCTAAATTCTTCCATTTGTCTCCTTACACACAGCCAACACAATAGACCACCAAAGAAAAGAAAGACAAACTGGCCCAATTTTTGCTTAAAAATTCCAAAGCACTAGGAGCACTTTAAGTTTGGTCGCAAAAGAAGTTGTTTATAAAATCAAAGGGCTACCAATTCCCTTTTCATCCTGCACTGAAGCACATGACGACTTAAGACCTTCCTTTTGTGTTCATTAATTTATAATGTGGATCTCATTGCTTACGTGTGGATTTCTACAGTGATTAGCAATATTTGTTTTTATCACTTCAGTTGAAACTCTTACCACTCATTATAGCTGGTTGTAGTTTTATGGAAGATGTAATTTATAGCTCTAGTGGGTTTTTTATGCATAGCTGCCTTTTTATTGTTTAACAGTGTTTCTCAGCTATAGAACCAGTTCCCAGCTGGTTGTAAAAATATAGCTGAGGCAATGAATGTACTTATTTGTTGTTTCATTCAGTTGTAACAAAACACTACTGTTAAAAATAAAAGTGTTTGTGCTTTCATTTGGATGTCTGGTTTTCTTAATCTCCCTTAATGGGCTCTACTGAGTTTCTATTACATAGGTTAAGAACCCTGGTGTCAGCACAGAAAGAAGAAAAATACTAAGGTATAAATAATAGTGTGCTCTTGGCAGTCTCATCATTACTTACATGTAGGTCTTACAGACATCAATTTGACAGGAAATGCTTTACACTTTAAAAATACCAGTGTTACTAGAAAGCACATTGAATCAAGAATTAACATCTTTGTATGAGAGCATTACACGGTGCAGGCAGCATATCCTCACCGCTCCTTTATTACTGAAGAAGCTCCTCGGGGACGCTGCCTTTTCCAAGGAAGATTCCTTTTGCGGCTCACCAAAGACCACAACAAAATTTGAACACAGTTTCAGCTTTATTGATTCCCAAACGTCTCCAGATCTTTGGGGTCTACTGGCCTCTGCTGTAAAGTGAAAGGACTAAAGGTATGACTTCTAATAAAATAGTCACTTTAAAAGCAATTTATTCAACAAATATTTATTAAATGTTCATGTGCCAAAAAGTTTGCTATAGAGATGCCGAAGTAAATAGATTTTTTTTTCCTGCCCTTGAGGAGCTCACATACTAATAAAGGAAACTTATAATAATACAGTACAATATGTGATACAGTAGAGGTAGGTTGTAATTACAGTGGTGACACAAAAGTTAAATTCTCCTTGAATGGAGGAGGGGAATTTTGAGGCAAGAGCCTGCAAGGATGCATGGAATTTTCTGGCAGAAGGGTTGGCTAGGACACTTGGTGTGCAGAGCACGGCGCTCACCCAGGTGTGGAGGGCTGGCCACGCCGGGCATCGGAAGGACTGACTGTAAGTCTGTTTTATCAGAACCACGGGCAAGGAAGGCATATGAAGGGAGCTCGTATACCAAGCTAAGAACTTTGGCTCTCTCCAATGTGTAGCGTCACTGAAGGGTATTAAGCAGAGTGACACTGCCAGTGCGCATCTAGGGAGCTGAGACAGGTCCTATGGAGACAGGTTCATGTGGCCCCGGTGAGCACAGCGTGACGTGTCAGAAAGGCAGAGGTAGTAAAATCAATAGAACTTAGAATGAAGAGGGGAGGAGAGGAATAAGCTGAGAAAATCCTGGTCCCGAAGTTAAGTGAAGTTTAAGAAACAAAGGCACAAGAGTAGGTGGGAGAGAACGAGTGAAGACACAGTGTATACTGATCATGACAACAACAAAAAGCCCAAAAACAACATTAAGAAATTGACAAAAAGGCCAAAAATAAGGTTAGGAGCAAACAAAATACGAAGAACCAAGGTGATAGAGGTTTTGGTTTTCTTTAAAGAAAGATTTGTCATTAAAAACTCATCTGAAAAAAGTCAAATCAGCAATGCCTTGAGAGCTGAAATGTAGATTTACAATTAGGATTTCAGCCTGCACAAGAAAGGACTGAAAAGGACACAGCGCCAGATGCCAGCTTTTAGTTAAGCAGCAAGTGGGAGGCAGCAAAGTGGAGGTGGGAATACTCTTCTGGCGACCCTGGCAGCTGGAGAGGGCAGCTGAGGGCTAGGGAGGTCTACACACTCTGACCATGAAGTCCATGAGCCATCTCCAGGGCATGCCAATCACTTAAGAGAGGGCTCCACTCAAAGAGCGAGTCAATGTCGTCTTTTCCCTGCCCTATTCAGAGAAAATGAGGGAAAAGGAAAACAGAATGCACACTGTTAGACTCAGTTCTGTGATTATTCATTTAAAATACACTAAATACATACTACATTCACTCCACAAATATTTATTGGATACCAGCTATGTGCTTGGCACTGTACCAGGCCTTAGGGACACAGAAGAAAAGAAAATGAATTTAGCAGTGTGAAGTGGGACTCTGCTTTACTAATAATGCGATGTCCCAGCATGCTACACCTGCCAGGACAGAAAAAAGGTACATAATTTTGAGGTATAATCACCATGTGGTATTCTTAAACCTTTTAAATACTTTATCAGAATTTCTACTAGTAAAACCCTAAATTACAGCTCAGTTTTAGAGAGGCAAAAGAAATTAACATCATGAAAAAAATTATCTTCATAAAAAATTATACACCCTAACACCTTAGAAATCAAACATAAAAAGAATAATAAAACTAAAGAACGACTTTTAGATTGGAACTGGAAATGATTCCTTATTTTAAGGCTTACAGAATGACAGTTCTATACTTGTAGAGATTTCTGAGAAACAATTTTTAGAAAATTATTCAATATTACATGGAGCCTTTAGGACGAGAGGGCAGGACATGTGTAGCCGACTTCCAGTGGTCGAGGGGAAAAAAGCGGGTGTGAAACAGAGCTCCTGGGAACCACTGACGGGTCTGGGTGGAAGTCCTTCGGACTATTTGTGAAACATTTCTGTAAATTTTAAATTATATAAAAATAAAAAGACTACCCCCCATTTTCATACATTAGGTAAAGTATGAGAATAAATATATATTCTATTCAACTTTTCACAATGCTTACAAATCTCCCATGCCTCTAAATTGTTCTGAAGTTGATATGCTGAAGGAACCTAGTCAAAATAGCAATTGAGCTCTAAAAATTTTTCATACCAGTGTACTTTAGGGTTGTCAGATAAAACACAGGACCCTCAGTTAAAATTTGAATTTCAAACAACTAATGAATAATTTTGTGTGTGTGTTGTAAATATCCCATGCAACATATTTTAAAGTAAACAGTTGTTTATCTGAAGTTCAATTTTGAGTGAACATTCTGCTTTTTTACTTCCTAAATCTGACAACCCTAAATATATTGAAAAATTCTACACCATTAATTATAAGTCATTCTTGAGTCTCCCTAGTATTTTCCTATTACACACCTGTCATATTTGCCATATTCTGATTTTTATTACATCTTTTCACATGAAACTCTAGTTTGACTTAAAAATACCATTCAACTGGTTTTAGCATATAAGAATCAGATAATCCTGCTTTTATTCAATATTAAACTTAAAAATTTGTACCACATTATCAAAGTATTTTATTCACAATAATATTAACATAGGACAATTTAAAAAATGTTTACTTAAAACAATATAATTCTCCTTTTACAAAAGCAGCTTAATATAAAATGTTCATCTGAAGACTGTCCTTGCTATTACACCCTGAATGACTCTTTGGCCTCCGTTGTCCACAAACAGGCTTTCTTCAAATCACTCTCCTTAATGGATATTGTGCAACAAGTTCCTGAAGTTTTCTAATTCTTTCACACTTGTAGAAATTCTGAAACCAAAAAAAATATTTCGCACTCAAAAGCCATTGTAGACAAATGTTCTCTGTAGAAGTTGCTCAGTTTGTAGCTTTAGAGCACAGAAAAATTTTAAGTTAATTTATTTCAATAAATGGAAATGTAGGGGCCGGGGAGATGGCTCAGTAGAGTAAGCACTTCCCTGGCAAGCACAAGGGCCTGAGTTCAATCCCTGGTTCCGCCATAGATAGACAGATGATGATGATTGATTGATAGATAGATAGATATGTATTTAAACCATTTAACCTATTTTGATGCACTTTAGTTTTTAATACAGTAAAAGTAAGATAATACTGTCTGGAATTAGGCTTTTTTCAGTGTAAAAGTATTAAAATATATGTATGTGAAACACTGAAAATCTTACGTACTTTATAACCATATTCATTTACTTAGTATTGAAAATACATGAGTAGTATACACAAAAATATACAATATGTAAGTATTAAAATACTAAGGCATTTTAAGTATTAATAAATATATTCATATGTTTAACATTAAAGTCTATGATATGAAGACTAGAATAGAAATATTAACATTTTAAATATGAGTATGCAAATACCTTAAAATGATACACAATTATTTAGCAAATATACAAAGAATCAAAGCTGTTGGCCTAACAAGGAGTAAATGATGTGACCATATTATCACTGAATTTTAGAGAGTCTATCCCTCGTTGATGGGTGCTGTGCATGTGTTACGTGCACTGTAGCCGAGCTCCACAGTGTGACAAACGTGGCTGGGAAGGCTGGGACACGCACCCGGCAGGCTCCTGGGTGCAGGGAGGTAACTGTGCTGGGCAATTATTTCGAGCCCAAAATATTAAATAATATTTTTTTAAATGAAGAAACATAGACCAAAAAATAATGATAATACAGGGAGGTGGAGGTGCCACTCTGTGACAGGGGACTTTCCTAGCATGTGTAAGGCCCTGGGTTCAATCCCCAGCCCCACAAAAATATTTTTTAAAAGTATTTTTAAAAGGTTTTTTAAATGTCAATGTTCTTTACATTCATAAGCGTGTGCACCACACCACCTTACACTTACTTAACATGATTTTTCCAGGACCTTCAAAAAATTTGGACAGCACAAAACACTGCTTTTAAGTAATTAGAAAATATTGTGCAGTTTAGTAATGTGAATACCAGTACCCAATCTATAATTTAATCACGAAATAAGAGAAAATACATGAAAACTGAAAAATCATCTAGGGGCCAGTGAGACAGCTCAGCAGACTAAAGCACTTGCTTGAGTAAGCTTAGGCAAGTGCTGGGACAGTGGGTCGATCCCAGGCACCACATGCTGCGCCAGCCCCGCCCCCAGAGCGGGCTGAGCTGGCCGGAGTCTGGGCGTGGTGGGGTACACCTGTAATCCCAGCGTTGGGGAGGCTGAAAGCAGGTGAATCACCACGAATTGGAGCTGCATAGTGACCCTGCAACAACCAAATACACTTAAAAGAAAAATCACCTAATGACAGCATGTGTCACCATACTTGGGATAATTCATAGGATCATATAATTCTGTAAGATTATTACACTAAAAAGGCTGCTCCTTACCTAATTTTACCCGAGTATAAATGCTGCATTAGACTTATTTAGCTAACAGAAACAATTTCAGTACATTCAAACTAACCTTCCAAATGCATTAAATAGTGATACGATTTCTTGTCTGGTTAGATGGAATTCATAACTGGGTCCACTTTCTGGCATATTTGCTATCAATTTCTCAGAAAACAAGATCTTCAGAGCAGTACCCAAACCTTGAGTCTATAAGAGAAATAAGAAAATTCAGAACATTCATGCAAAGGGTAGACGAGACACGAATGTTGGCATGATTTGCTTACCTGAAGCTTTCCCCACAGCCGACACTTAAAACAACCGACACAATCCATGATCCTTGAAATATTTCTAAAATGCAGCCGAAAGTCCTCCTAAAACCAATTCAACAAAATTTTATTTAGATGTGTTATGTAGGCCTGGGGATGTATGTAGTTCAATGATAAGAACGCTTGCCTAGCATGTGCAAGGCCCTGGGTTCAATCCCCAATACTACAAAGAAAAAAAAAAAAGATGTAACATACAGTCATCTATTAAGTCTTTTCTGAGTGCCTTCTATGTATTTAACACTGGGCAAGATATTATATGATACCAATAACAAAAGGAACTAACATTTATTGAGCACCTCCCACACACCAGAATCTTTACAACTATATTTTATCATCACCACAAAATTTAAAATATAATAATTATTATAAGCTCTCCATAGTGGATTAAAGGTAAGCAATTCAGTACCTTACCTAAATTCCCACTGAGTAATAGCAATCCCAGACCTGCCTGACTCCAAAGCTAAACTGTCTGCCAAAAGCAAACGAGCAGCTCTGCCAACTGATGGCCCTACAGCGTGTGATCATGAACCACTGCCGGTCGTGGCAGGACAGGAGCTAGAAGACATCCCTGACCAACAGGAGAAAGGGGCGAGAGAAGGAAACCTCTGTTTCCTGTTTCACAACAGTTAAATTACAGTTCTCCTTTCTACTATCAAGTAAGTAAAATCAGATTTTCTTTTATTAACATAATTATTATGTTAATACAAAAATACCTTAAGTACAATAAACACCCATATACCCACCACCAAGTTTTAAAAAGAAACCATTCCAAACGCAATTGAAATTCCCCGTGTATCCCTCCAAATTTCCGTATCCCATCCTCCACCGCTATGCTGAACCTGGGGTTTTCCGATCCTTTTGTCTTTATGTACTTGCTACATATTCAGACACCTGTGAATACTTGGGTATTATATTGCTTATAACAGGGTAACCACAAATCCAAAAGCAGTATGTCTTTAAGGAATAAGAAAAAAAAGAAGGCAAGCCAAGAATACGTCCTTCTTTTACTACAGTGGAAATTATTAATTGATCTGCCAAGGGACTCACTCTGTGCTGTCCCAGGAGTGGAATCCTAAGCTTCGGGATTTTAAGCAGAAAAGTAACATTCTAGATACAACATCAGTTATACCACTTAGCCTATAATTTAAAAAGCATCAAATATGCTGAACCAAACAGGGGCTTACACAGTGGAAAACAGGACCACAGATCTAGCACTGAATAAATAAGCAAAGACCCACACACCTCTACATTGAAAGCAGCCCTGAGTTTATAGTTAGACACAGACTTTATCCTGATGCTTTGTTCATCTTAAGACTTTGGAACAACCGTAACATGGAAAAGATGTGCAGCAAGACCCCCGATGTTTTATTTCACAGAAATCTCAATCTATTAATATTGTTTCCACATATTTTTAATGTTGTTGCCTGTTCAGCAAGAGGGAATTTAATTTGAAGCCTACTATTCAAAAACAACTACCCATTATTATTCCAGATAGATGTCATGATTTAAGGTTTCCCTAACACTAATGTTTTACCCTTGACTTAAAGAAAAAAAAAAAAAAAAAATCACACTGCAAACAGTAACGAAGTAATAAAAAGGCTGTAAAGCACACGCCCCATCCTACAGCTACTGACCTCCAGGGGACCTAGCAGCTGCTAAGAGTCCATGAAATCCGTATTAAGATTATACAGACAGAATAAACACTTCCCACAGACTCTATAAATATCAAAATGGATATAAATGCTATGAACAATAAAATACAACTTTTACTTTAAGATATTATTTAGTGCCACAGTGGCTTTTTGGCAATTATATATTTCACAATCAATAAGTACTAAAAATATACTCTCATGGGGAAGAGCTTTAAAAATTGTTGACTTTAGGAGACTCTACCACTTATAAAGGCTAAAAGCCTGTGTTCTAGAAGACCATGCTATTAAGACTGTCTAAATTCAGTATTCGAATCTATGGTGAGTCAGTCATTTGAGGATGGCAGTTCTTGAGTCAACCTTTACGCGCTATGCGCAGGAAGTGTGTACGCTTGCTTTCAACAGCTCAGTAAACACTGAAAAATTAAAACCAAGCACATATGATAGCATCCACCTTCTGGCTGGGTGACTCTAGTAGGCTAGACCCAAACTGTCAGGGTAGATTATAATGAGAGAAATCCCCATAATTTCCATAAGTAGCAAATACAGTCAATAACCTGAGTTTATCTTGGTTATCTCAGAAACATTTCATGCCCTCAAAATAACCACAGACTGACAAATTCTCCTTGTACTGACATACTGTTTCAGGTTATCATTTTGTCCATTTTAAAGAAATGAGGGTCTGCTGTTGCCCATGTTAGCCTCAAACTCCTGGGCTCAAGCAAACCTCTTGCCTCAGCTTCTGGGGTAGCTGGGAAAAAAGGTGTGTGCAACCACAGCCAACTTTTTAATTATTTTTGATTACAGTAATTTGGAAGAATAATGGAAATGTACTTTGGTTATATGCTATGATTTATACTCAGTGAAATCAACTGACCAATTCTCACCCAAATTTTCAAATGCTTTCATATGCTTTCAAGTGAGATCCTATTCCATTTTTAATTGAACACTAAATATCTCTTTCAGGTAAATCCTCTATTTCCAGCCATATATCGACTATAAAGGAATCAGGATTAGAGTTTTTAAAAATGAGTTTGTAAATATGACCATTCAAGGCCCAGGGAGGGGGACAGGGAGATGGCTCAGTAGAATAAGTGCTTCCCTGGCAAGCGCAAGGCCTGAGTTCAATCCCCAGTTCCACCAAAAAGAAAAAAAAATACAAATCAAGGGCCAGGGAGATAGCTGAGCAGCTTAAGTGGCTATATGGTAAGTGCAGGATCCCGAGTTCGATCCCTGGTACCTAAATAAATAGAGACCATTCAAATCAGTGATGTTTAAACACAAAGTAATTTTATATCCTTTGTTTTCTTTTTTTTTTTTTTTAACTTTTAGGGGAATAAAAGGAAATCTCTGGTGTTCATGTGCTTTTTTTTTTGTTAACTTTGCTCTAAAATTAGATTCAGGAAAAGTCTGTTAGGCAAAGATTCTGCATAAACCTCATAGAACATGAAAGTGAAGAGTTCGGGGATTTTGATCAAATTAAAACATTGTGAGAAATATTTCCAACTTGCACGATCTAAAAAGGGCTGATGCCAAAACACTCTCCAATAAACCAGCAAGTGAACTAAAAATAAGGCACATATTGAAAATAGTAGGCAAAAAATAAGCCTTATTGCAACATCCTCCCCCTCACTTTCCAGTTCCTGGAAGCTGGTTAGGAGATTATACAATCACTGAGGTATGTTTTTATAGCAAAAATGCTTTAAGTAGGAGATAGATGGGAGGGCAAGAATAACCATTATCTAACACCACTTGCTTTTGCAGGCTGCCTAAAATCAGTCTCTTCATCATGAAAAGATACCAAGAATAACAGAGCAACATGGTTATAAATATTCCAATAAAATTGGACCAAGTCCCATGGTATTAAGGCTCTACTTCCTTTACTAACCAATCGCTCGGAAAAGACAACAGTAATATAATTTTACTCAACTTTCCAAATAGTCTGGAAATCCCCTGAAAGTAAGAGGTATGTCTCCGTTTAATGGTAAACATCACACCCCACACATAGTGTTTTTCATCAGTCTTCCTAGGAATATTTTTTCTTTATACCATTCGGTGGCAACTACCCACACTAGCCTCCCTGAGGCCAAGCCCCTTGTAAGAAGGCAATGACCAGAGGGTCTTCATTCTGTGAGGTCTCAGGTCTGTCTTCCTGCAGCCCACCACTGGTGTCACGACCTGCCTGTAGCACAAGTGAGTAAGCCGGCTGGCATGACGCCACACAGTGCCTGCTCCTCATAAACGCCATTTTTAATTTAACCAATGCCATTTTTAGAATTTTCTTCAGCAAAACAACAGACTAATACTGCCACTTATGCTCTGGATCCTTCTGTTTAATTTATAAATACTTTTCAGTATATAAAACCGTCAACGTAAAAGCTATCTATACAGAGTCCAGTAATACATCACTTGTTATTTTGTGTTGTGGGGATTCTTGTTTTGTTTTGGGGATTTTTTTTTCTTTTTCTGTCTTTTTTTTTTCCCCTCTCTGGTGCTGGGGCCAAACCCAGGCCCTCAAGCATGCTAAGCACTGACACCTAGTTGAAACCTTGAATGCAGGACAAAGTAGACCTTCAGCTGGACCTGCCTTTAAGGAAAACTGTGACTCCATTTTTTCTTATAATTTCAGAATATATATCAAGATTTACTGTTACGTATAAATATAAGGGCTTACATATTTTTAATATTAAGTAACTATATATATTTATGAGGCACAATATTATGCTTTGATGTTAGGTTTACAATATGAAATGATTAGGATAACTGACAAATCCATTATACCTCACACACTTACTTTTTGCAGTGAAAACACTTAAAACCTACTCTTAAAAAAAAAAAAAAAAAAAAAGATTTATTTATTTCTTTGAGCTATGCAGCTCAGACTCAGCGATCCTCCTGTCTCAGGCTCCTCCGTGCTGGGATTACAGGTGTGCACCGCCACACCCGGTTTCAGGGGCTGGCACGGCTCGGCATGCGGAACTGGGGAACCTGGGTCCTTGTGCTTGGCAGGGGGGTGCTTAGACTGCTGAGCTATATCCCTGGCCCCAAATCTACTCTTTCAACCATTTTGAAATGTGGAATTATTACTTATTATAGTTACCATTCTGTGAAATGTATTACTAAAGCTTATCCACCTAATCGAAACTTAGTTCTCTGTGACCAATACCTTTTCTTCTTCCACCTCTTCTCAGCTTCCAGTAAACATTTTATTCTCTAATTTTATGAGAAATACATGAATTTATATTCATAGCTGCATATGTGTTCACCAGTTTATATCTAACAAGTAAATATAATTACCTTTAGTTTTTGGGCTTCCTTTTTATCCCCAGCAAAAAGTGAATTCTCATCAAAATGCAAAGGAAATGACCTGCATTTTAGAATAAAAAAATATTTTTGTACTTTGTAAATATTGAAAAGCCTACTAACACAATATGTGTGTGTGTGTGTGTGTGTGTGTGTGCCCGCACGCACGCGTGTGTGTGCATGTATATTTGTTGCTGTTGTTTTTGGTATTTTTAAATGTATTTAGTATAGGGCCTCACTACACAGCTCAGACTCACAGTAATCCTGTTTTCAGCCTCCCCAGCGCTGGGATTACAGGCATGCACCACTATGCCCAGTTTCAGTGCCAGCTCAGTGCACCCAGGGGCGGAGCCAGCGCAGCATGTGGTACTGGGATCGAACCTCAATCCCACTTGCCTAAGCAAGCACTCACTCCGCTGAGCTATCTCACCAGCCCCTAAAAAAAATTTTGATGACTAATGATGAATAAAAAAATTAAAACAGCAGAAAACATTAAAACCAACACTTTTATGCAAAAAACTATTTTCTCAAATAAACGCTAACTGTGTAACACAGCAGAGGTCTGGCCCCAAAATGTGTGTTTTTGGTACACAAATCAAAATAAAAACAAAACTCAATCCTGGAAGTTCATGAGCAAAACTAGCTTTCAATTATTTTCAAATCGTTTTCCTTTCTTTACATAAATATTTAAGAATTTCAGATGCTGCTTGCCATTCATCTACTCATAGGTAAGCTGCAATCGCACTTACTTGATTTCACGCAAGACTTCCAGAAGTAGCATTTTATTTTCCGCATCCTGAATTTTATTTCCAGTGAAGAGCTGAAAATCTGGGCGCTCAAAAAACGGTAACACTTTAGATAAAGCCCTTAATTCAATTAAGTAGAGAAAGTATAAGTTCTTGAGCCTCCTTGGGCCCTCCCCCTCAGTCAGAACTGCATCAAACCGCTGCTGGAATTCTGTGGTGTTGTGTCCCCACTTCGTTTCCAGCCAGGTATCTAGGGAGAGAAAAACACTCAAAACTGAATTTTACCTAATTTTCATCTTATTGTATTAGGTTATTTATACTTGTATTTCACATAAATATGAAAACGGGCTTTTATAATTTATCTTTTAAAAATTATGTAATAAGATTTTTATCTTCTGGAACCCAGCCTTAAAAGCAAAACTGAATTCGCTGTTTTACTGAGAATAGTTTTTATCAAAATCACATTTCTGAATATATACATATTCATAGAACCAAAATATATAAATGAAAAATTACTATCTGAAGTGATTAACAAATTTGAAGGATTATTTCAAATCAAGGTTATTCTTTCGTTTCCAAGTGGTAACACCCTCTAACTCCCAGAAGCAATGTGTTACTTTAAAGATGAAAATTAAGCGTGGTGTCCTTTATCAACAGTAGCCCTGAAGCATAAATGACGCAGAAAATGCTTCCCCAGCAGAGCGGCTGCCTAGGCTCTGATGTCCTAACTAACAAATAACGAACTGCTGTTAGGAGCGGCTTGAATTCCCACAACAAAAGAAAACAGTGTTGCCCAAGTGTCCTTTCAAGCAGTTTCTCACAAGAAGGTAAGGGTTAATGGTGCGCTGCGCATGCATGCATTCAGCCGTGTCTGCAGCGCTCCTACACCTGCTAACTACCACTTACAGGACTGTTACAGCATCATACTCAGGGAGGTCTGCCGTTTCCCACTCAGATACAAGAAGAATTTAAGAGTGCCTGAAAACACGTGAAGAGGTAAATAAAAGTCAGTGTCTCCTACCTTGTAAAAGATACCTTGCACTCAAATGCACATTAATGCTGGCGTGTAAGCCAGATATCAGCCTGTAGAATGCTCTTTTTTCTACACAGAGACCTAGAAAAGAGCCAGTGATTTAGATATAACATCTCATATATAAATCTATTAATTTATTTCATGATTTAAAAATAAAAAATAAATTTAGTTAACCATTTCTAATTACCTTCTAGCCAACTGTAAAATGTGTTCTCTGAAATTAAAGGAAAAATAAGTCACAAGTTTGCAAAAATGTCAAGAGATAAGTTTCCCCAAAGTGTTAAGCCATACTATAGAAAATCTGTGCCAGTGTCCTAGAGATTACTTAACCTAAAGAGTCAAATCTTACTTGCAGCTTCTTCAAAGGAAGAAGTCAAGAAACAGTACAGACTCAGTGAAGTACCAGCCGGCGCACAGACCTGAAAAGGCCTTCGAAGTGCCTGAGGCAGGCAGTCTCTTCATTTTCTGGGTACTAGACTAGAGCTTGGGTGGTAAAGCAAGCGAAAACGGGAAAATGCCCAGCCTAGATAGCAATTCAGGCTAGGAAAATTAAAGACTCATTCTATGCTTTTTAAGTCATAAAAATAAGTAAAAATTACAAAATAGCAATGGAAGTATATTATTTCTACACAGAAGTTGTATTCCATGCCATTCACTGTTTCAAAAGAACAATTTATAGAAGTGTTACAGCAATCAATTATCTCTTACATTCTATGGCCTAATGAGACCACTTTCAATAGACTTAGAAATTTTGTTTTTATTATTTTATTTTTATTCATTTATTTATTTTGTGTGGCTGGCTCAGCACCCTTGAGGTGGGGCTGGTGTGGCATGTGGTGCTGGGGACCGAACCATGGTCCCTGTGCTTGCCTAAGCTTGCCTAAGCAGGTGCTTAGACCACTGAGCTATCTTGCCAGCCCAGAAATTTTGTTTTTAGAATTATGATTTAAAGAACTAAAAATGGAGATGGCAAGAAATTTTACAAAGATTACGTTTTAAACCCTTGAATAATAAAAATATACAGTAATGTCTACGTGAATATGACAGAATACTATAAAACATGGTATAGTGAACATGGCAAAATAACACAACTATCAAAATGACAAAGATGTAGAATATAACAATTCTGTACGTACATGAAAATATTTTGTTGAAATATATGCAGGTTTATTTTTTACTAGAGTTGCTTACAGTGATATTAAAAATAAATCCCAATCAAGCATAAAAATACAAGCAATGGCAAACGGAAGAAGCAATAAATTGGACTGTATAAAAATTTAAAATGCTGGCTTATAGGAAAATTTTATGCAAAAGCCATATGCAAACACCAAACTGGATAAAATGCATACTGCATGTTGCGAGCATGACAGAGGAATCTACACTAAATACATAAAAACATCACAGATCAATTAAAAATGCTAAAATGCTCATTAAAAAGGGCCCAGACACAGTCATTTTTCCTCAACCTGTGCTACTGCCTCCAGAATTATAAATACAATCCACCCACCCCCGGGGGCGCTAAGCCAGCCATGGAGACTGGGCGTGGTGGCACGCAACTGTAATCCCAGCACTGGGGAGGATCACTACAAGTCGGAGCTGCGTGGTGAGACCCTGTACCAAATACATTTAAAAAGTTGCTCTTGTGAGTCTCAGAAATGGGAAAAAAAATGGTTTTACTTTAAAATAAACATCCTAACATTTTGGCCCTAGCCCTTCAAGGTCAGTGCAGACTCGGGACATAGGAGAACCTGTACTATAACAACATGTAA